CCTTTAATCTGACAGACACACTGAATCACACATCCTTGATCAGTGTTTCCCACTTTGCTTTAGCCTTTGGAAAACTCCGAACCTAATTCGTGTCCCAACTTCCTGCTTCGCAGTGCTGGCAATCAGTCTTCCCCTGGCTTCACTCCATTTTTTCTAATTATTTTGCTATTCCCATGATTTCTTTGACCATTTTCATTGTATTATATTGCAGATTTTAAAAAATCCACTTCACTTCATTTTTTTTTGAGAGGCGGTGAAGGGGGGGAAACATGAATGTATATAAAGGATCATATTAATTTGTGGAGGTAAAAATGAGGAAAATGAAGAATGATTCTTTACCTCCCTCAATAATTCAATGAAAATTTGAATACTTTCTTAGAAACACAAAATGAGAAATGTTGGGAGATGATGGTAAGCTACTTTTAGAACAGGCACATCTGGGTCCTTTTGAAAATAGGGGTATCCAACATTGAATTGGTTTTAAAGCATGACGTTTAAGAGCAAAGTGGATTCTGGAGAGGTAGACGTGGAAGTTGTGGAAGTCAAGAGAGGTGGCCTACCTTTAAATGAAAGCAAAAGGAAAAGATATACGGCCCTTTAACAATGCAGGAATTATTCCATGACTGATGGCAGACCCACAGTGTATGTACATTATCCATTCACCCTGCAGCTTCTGAGTGAATTATGTAACACTATTTTAACTCATAACATTAAATCATGTGAATGGAAATAAAATGTCAATTTATACTCACACTAGAAATGCTTTCCATGATACATAGTTGAAAAAATTAAATTTGTTGGGGTGACATTGACTAACAGGATCATATAGGTTTCAAGTGTACATGTCTATGATACATGATCTGTATATTGCTTTGTGTGTCCACCACCCAAAGTCAAATCATCTTCCATCACCAAATATTTGTCCCCCCTTTACCTTCCCATCCTCCCTACCACCTTCCCTCTGGTAACCATCATACTGTGGTCTCTGTCTAGGAATTTCAGTATCCCACATACAGTATGAGTGAAATCATATTGCTCTTAGCTTTTTCTGCCTGACTTGTTTTGCTTAGCGTAATATTCTCAAGGTCCATCCATGTTGTCACAAATGGCAGTATTTCATCTTTTGGCTGAGTAGTGTTCCATGGTATATATGTACCAGATCTTCTTTAGATACATTCTTTTTAAGGATTTATTTTCTTTTCCTCCTGAGTGTCTAAATCCTTTATTTTCCTGTAGTTGAAAGTTAAAAGTAGAATACATTTGGACAAGGGATGCTTGGCTATAAACGTTATATGCTCAGTGTTGATGGGGAAATTTTCATTGCTTCAGGGTTGATTTTTTTTCTGTGTCTTGCACATACAAGATGAAACTAATTCACATTATGAAATTTTATGTTCTCTTTTTTTTATTTTAATGAAACGCTTTAAAACTTAAGATCAGACCTGGCTCAACAGCATTTCCCAAGTAAAACACCAGCAAGCACAAATATTACAAAGGACCTGAGTTTTCTTGTTAAGTGGTCTACACATTTACATGAAAAAGGAATTTTAAAGTTTTCTACCCTCTCATTCTCCCCCTCCCCCAACTTGGTGCTGGTTAATTAGCCAATCATAAAGAAAAGATGAAAGTATGTGAACCTTAAATCCTTGTGTTCTGGAAAAAATAGAGTCACAGAATAATTAAAATAAATGTCAACTAATGAGAACCAGAAAGAATGACCAATGGAAATAGTGAAAACAGTTGGATCCAGCAGGTCAAAACTTTACGGAAAATGAACACTGGATTGTTGCAGCTTGCTCCTGCGGCTGCTTATGATCTTTGCACTGGTCCAAGGATCACTGGTGGGAGCAACGGGGAGCTCTTTTCTTCAGAATACACTCCTGTTTAAATGTTCTTTCAACTTCATTAGCTGAAAGTCTTCTTTACTGTGTCTTTTCACCTGGCTTCCATCTCTCCCCTGATATACTGGCGTCCCCGCCTTTCTGCTGGATCCCACTATCCTGACACAGCCCGTCCCTTATTCAGCCAGGCACAGACACTCCACCACCCCCTACTTTGCAGAGCGGGTGGCTGAGGCACAGAGTTCTCATAGGACTCGGTTGACATGTAGTGGGAATGAACCCGTCCCTCTGACATGCCTGAGGCAGTGTTTATGGCTAGCAAAACCCATTTCCTCTTCTAAGGCATCAGGATAGGATATATTTTCCCAGCCTTCCTCGCAGTTAGTTTGAGCCTCGTGACTGAGTTCTTGCCAATGGAACGTGCGCAGAAATGATGCCCACTGGCGCCTTTCAGGTGGTAATGTACACACCCATCACTTGCAGGTGGTAATGTACACACCCATCACTTTGGATTCAGTAGGTCTCAGGTGGGGCCCATGATTCTTCATTTCAACCAGCTCTCTACTGTTGGTTTCATAGACACTTCAAATGTGAAGAATATCCATCGGTTCTAGCCCAGCCATAAAGTGTCCTATGCAGACTTCCTCAATCTCTCGACCATATCTGCACAGCTAGAAGCAAAGCACTCAGGATGCAGAGACACTTAAAGGATGGAAGGAAACTGGGTTCCTGCTTCATTGACGAGAGGAACTCTGCTCTGGGGATCTGCCTAACCTATGAGGGTCTGTGAGAAGAGCGAGAAGTAACCTTCCATGGTGTTAAGCCCCTAGTTTCAGGGTTTACTTATTACTGCAGCATGGCTAACTCTAATTCTCCCTCTTATCCATTGCCTTGTCTGACTCTGTTCTCGACTTATGATTTTAAATTAACTTAGCAAACTTATGAAACACCAACTTTGGGCCAGGCACAATTCTAGGTGCTGGAGAATGCATAGATGAAGGAGGTGGAGTTCTTTTTCAGACGAGATCAGGCGCATTCAGGGTGGTATGGCCGTAGACTGGAGTTCTTTTTCAAAGGATTTCAGAAGGGAGATAAGAAATGGGATCAAATAATGAATCCAAAAGTTTGCACTATATCAGGGCCTAATAAATCCTGCTTCCTGAGCTCAGAAGAGGGAGATGGGAATCCCAGCTGTGGACATCAGGAAAGGTTTTCCAAACGTGGTTGTACTGACATTGGCCTTGAAAGATGGGTAAGATTTGAACGTGTAACAGAATAGAGGATTGCATATCAGGGGAATTAAAAGGAATAAATAGCAGAAGGCACACAGGGGTGTGTGAGCTTGTCATTGGGGTCAAGTGTAGGATGAAGGACTGGAGTAAAGAAATATACAATGGAAATGAAGGTCAGGGTTATATCAGGGAATACTTTGAATGGCAGTCAAAGGAGCTTGGATTTTATCCTAAGGATGGTGGGGGACTCTTGATGGGTGTGCTGGGTACAGGGAGGAAGGAAGTAGGAGCAGAAGGCACTGGAGCCCTCCTCCCCTAGTGCTCCCCCTCCCCCCTCCTCCAGGGGCCGATTGCAATGGTTCAGGTATGATTGCTGAAGCCTGAAGATGCTGAGCATTAGCCAGACCGGTTTGGCTCAGTGGATAGAGCGTCGGCCTGCGGACTGGAGGGTCCCGGGTTCGATTCCAGTCAAGGGCATGTACCTTGGTTGCGGGCACCCACACCAGTGGGAGGTATGCAGGAGGCGGCTGGTCGATGTTTCTCTCTCATCGATGTTTCTAACTCTCTATCCCTCTCCCTTCCTCTCTGTAAAAAATCAATAAAATATATTTAAAAAAAAAGATGCTGAGCATTAAGATGAAAAACGACAGGGAAATCTCTTGAATACATTTTAAGGAAAATGGGGTAGCACCTTCTCCACCCTTGCCCCCTTGTTAGAAATGAGGAAGTTGTGACTCAGAAAGGTTCTATCTTGCTCAAAACATTAAGCCAGGGAGTCAGGCCTTGGAGCTCCAGTTTCTTACTTCAAGCCCAATATTCTTTCCCACTTGAGTATGTTATTGCCAGGGTCAGGTGAGCCTGCACTGAATCTCAGTACAGCATAACTCACACTTTACAACTTGGCCACCTTTGCGAATTTTAATTTAAATACTTTGAGTCACCTCAATGGGGAAATTTATTGGAACTCTATTTTCCTATGACCTGCCAATAGCAAGTTTAAGACTCACTTTAACAAACTACATTACACTCCAAAGGGACTTCAACCCAACTTGCTGCTACTTTCTGGGGTCTGTGCCAGACCTAGGGGAGAGGGTTTAGGAAGGGATTTCTACCCCTGTGAGGGTTCCCTTGGGCGAAGAGTCCTGTAAACCAGCACATGTGTTCAGATGGCGGATCATGCCCAGGGACAACTGTGGAAAGACGCTCTTTCTGATGGACCTTCAGGATCACACTGTCTCGAGGCGGCAAAAGGGAAAGCTTCTTACAAATTATAGACAATTTGTTTGCATCCTCTGCCTGCCGCTTCCTAGCCAGGATAGTATGAGGGTTCCATGAGATTCCAGAGATGAAGTTCTGGGCACAGTGTAAGGTCCCCTCCGAGTTCATGCTGCTAGCCCAGCCCTCGGGTGTACTAACAAGAATAATGTTAGTTGCTTTAACAAACAAATCTGAATGTTCCAGTGGCTTCAAAATAATAAAGCTTTACCTCTCACTCACCCACCTATCTATGTGGGTGTTCCTGGTCCCCAGAAAGCCTTCCCCGTGGTGAGTCAAGGACCCATAACTCCTACCTGTGGCTTCTTTCTCTCTAGGATAAAAAAAGAGAGGGTGGAGAAGGCATGCCTTGGCCAAGAGCGAGACACATCACTTCCGCTCATTGGTGAGAAGTGGTCACATGACCGCCACAGAAGCAAGGGTGATGGGAAATGGGAGCACTGACATGGCACCCCATGTGCCAGTGACGATTGGATGCTATGGAAGGGGAGTGGAAATCTCTGCCCCACGTGGGGCAGTACTGAGGCAGTATTGGGCTCGGGACCAGGAAGTTGGATTTCTAATGGTGAAAACAACACTTCAGATTCACATTTCTTTCCTCTCAGCTTTTTCTGGAGCTCTGGCAGGTCCTGCCCCATTTGGAACCTGGCTCTGAGCAAGAAAACATCTGTGGTTGGAAATCAGGGCTGGTGATTCAAGCCTGTGTGTGACTTGGAGAGGATGCCCTGAGCCCTTTGCTCAACAAACAGCTCTCTCCTGCAAGGAGGAGAGAGGCCATCTGTCTGTCTGCTTTGACACTTTTACCCAGTGACCTTCAGGGCTTCAGACACTTCCCGGTAAGTTGGAGTGAGCTGGGCACACAGTGTCCTGGGTTTGACCATCACTGACTCACTAAAGGTCTGGGTGAGAGGAGAAGGCGAAAGCAGACAAACAGGCACTGAGGGCTTTGCCACCCCAGCCCTGTGCCATGTAACTAGACCTGTGTCTGCTTCAGAGCCAGCGGATGAGCCTGGACGTGGGTTGGAATCGGAGCCTTGACTGCTAATGCCAGAGCCTGTGACTGTGGAGTACTGTGTTCAAAAGGGGCATGTTGCCCACAGCCAGGGCACAGGGGTGAGGCAGGATGGTGGTCAGAGAAGAACACAGCTTTGGAATAACACACAACTGGCTTCTACCACTGACTTAGCTTTGTGACCTTGAATAAAAGTCACTTATTCTTTCTAAGGCTCAGTTTCCCTCTCTGTAAAATTGGCATAATGCTATGCACCTCAGATGCTTTAGGACAGTGCCAGCACATGGATACACAAGTCGTGTTTTTCTCCTCTGCCCGCCACTTTCTAGCCATATGATGTGGAACAATTCCTTCCACGTGAAGGAGAGGGATCTGTTATCACTTCAAGGTCATTAATATGGGTACTAGTCAGGTGCCACCATTTCTCAAGGTCTTCCGTGTCAGTTAGTCCTCGCGGCAACTGTGAGATAGGTAGAGTTATTCCCTCTGTGTAGATTCGGACACAGGTCCCACCCTGGGGTCAGGAAGGGATGCTGGTAGATGTGGAGATCGGTAGCTCTGCTGGCATGACGCAGCCAAGAAGGGAGTTCCCCAAAGGCAGCGAGGATGCTGGGCCGATAAACACAAAGGCTGTCTACCCACCTCAAGCGCTCTAGGAAGGAGCGCACCGCTCCTGGTTCTTCCTTAGTCAGTGTTAGTCCTAAGACAGTTGTTTCCAAAGTCACTAAAGTGAACTCTGTTGGTTTAGAAATATGTACACACAGCTTCCAGGCAAAGGAGAATAACGTGCAGGAGAAGGGAAGAGCCGCTGCTGAGCTGGGCGCCTCGGAACTGTCACTGGCTGTGTCTGTCACGTTGCTTAGCACAGATGGGACTCAGGACAAAATCTCCCTCAAGCAGTGGGGCGGGGGGAGGGGTATATGGACGCCCTCGCTCTACTTGCACATCGGGATAGGCGTTATGTGAGATGTGTTCTCCATGTGTTTTGAATGCCCTGCTTAATTATTTTTTTGCCCAAACTTTGCAAAAACAACAATAGCCAAACTCCCGAAGCCAAGCCAATATCACATGAGTAGTTTTTCGGTTCTATGAGCTTTAAGCTTGCCGGCTCTTTCTTGGAAAATACTTGTTGATTGTGTAGCCTGAAGTTGAGGAGGTCAGGACCCACCTTTGCAACAGATAAGGGAAAGCCTGCTTTGGTTCTCTTTCTGCCTTGTCCATCCTTTGTGGCGGTGGGAACTAGGTCTTTGAGCTCTTCCCGGTAGTTGTTCCATTTGTTTCACAAATACTTGTTGAACACCTGTTCTGGGTAACAGGCTGTGTTCGGAGGCGAAGCCCACACATGTGAGCCAGATGTGAGCTGTCCTTCAATTCTCGCTCTGCCCCTTCACGCCCCCTCCCTGTTCCCCCCTGGCCAGTGCGGACAAGGCTCCCAGCACACTCTTCACTTAAGATTCCTAAGGGGAGATGGAGGAGGAGATAGCTCCCACATATGGAGCAAACCAATTTGCACCATTCTCTAGACTCTTTTCAATTCCTCAGAGTTGACTATGGGACATGGCCATTCCCAGGGTCATGGTTTTCTGCTTTCCCTTTCCCCCAGCCTTGCTGGTCCCAGTTTGCTCCATCCCAATCCCTCTCACCCCCTCCCCCCGCCATGTTCAGCCCTTTCTCTTTTATGAAGTAGAACGACTCATCTCTGCCTCAACTTTGACCTCTAATCTTGTTTATGTCAACGGCATCATAAGGCTCAGAAGGACTCTCCTTATAAAGCAATAGTAATCTGCTAGCTCTCGGGCTCCATTTAGAACGGAATATGAACTGGGAGACCCTGCCCAGGATGCTGGTTAAGAATGGAAATGCCTGGACCTACCCCAGATAAACAGAGGCAGAATTTCTTTGGAGAAAAGCGGTGGATCTCAGCTCTAGCTGCCTATAAGCATCACGTGGAGAACATTCTTTTTAATGGCCCCCACCTGATTTAAATATGCAGCCAGCATTTCCAATCACTGGAGTAGAGGTAGCTGCATTGGTTACATGCAACACAAGTAACTTATATGCAGTTTGTATTGCAGGAATTCAGAGGAGAAAAGGTAAAGCCCCACTCGGGTTGTGGAAGGGAAGCAAGAAAGAAACTTCTAGAGGAGGTGAGTGGTGCTTGAAGAGCACCTGGGGGAATGGGAGGGTAGGTGGGGTTATTGGTTGTGAACAAACAAGGGGAGAGCAGCTGGTCTAAATCACCCCTGATATTTAAAACAAGCTCATGGCAGGGCGGCGCGGTGCGGAGAGTAGAGACGACTCGGCAGCAGCATAGCCATTTGCACAAAAACCTCTTTGCTGCCTGCCCAGCGCACCGACACCAGGCCTTCCTGCCCCAGGAGATGAGCAGCGATTCACAGGTAACAGTCACACAGGAGCGTTGGTGTTTTCCTAAACGTCCTGCCCCACGGGTGCTGTAAGTCATGAAAATATTCCAGAAATGCCAATGTTTCAACATCCAAATTCCTTCTCCAAAGGTTACCTCTCACCTTGGAAAGTGGCACAAGGTCTGCGGACAACCACTGTTCCAGTTGGGGTTTAGACACTGAGGCCTCCGTTTCCAAGGTGGCAAATGCCATCGGCTCTCAAAGGGGCCCAGCCCAGCCCAGCCGCAGTGTCCACCAGGTCATGGAGGCCGATGGATATGATCCGTCACCGTCACCGGCACCGTGGGGACAGGCCACGGACCGCCTTCCTCAACTCAGCGCCTGTTTGTTTAACTAACAGCAGTGAGAGCCCCTATTAAGGGCTGTTAACACTCCAAAATGCTGTTTGTTGAGGCTGCCAAAGCGATGAGTGTTGACTCGGAGCACACTCTTAAGATCAGTGTTCTCTTTTTCCCAATTCTGAGTTTACAATTCCAGCGTTTTATTTCCCAACAGTGTGAGTGAATCACACACGCCTGTGTTCACCAAGGAAAGGGAACGGGGATTGCAGGAGACATGCGATGAATGAGGGATTGCTTACCCTAAACACACCCCCTCTTAACATGAGCAAATGCTGGCTTGTTTACTCTGACTCCAAATGTGTATGTGCGTGGACTTTGCCAGTGACTGGGTTGAGGGGACCTCTCTGTCAGTGAAGTAGAAAAAACATTAAACAAATGTTTCCGCTGCATCTGTGAGCTGCCTGCCTACCTCTGCAGAGGCACCGACCGCGTTCTCGTGCCTTGACATTAAAACGTTGTTTGTGACCCTTTGTGGGACTCTAGGACCCAAATGACAGACTCCTGAATCTTTTCAGAGCCCCAGAATCAAAGCTGGGGAGAGGGCTTTAGGAGATGGTAATAGTCATGTATATAATTTATTGTCCAAACCAGGACCTTTTAAGAGTGAAAGGCTGTGCTATTAATAATCACGCCAGGACTACAGGTGTTGGGTGGGACATTTGGTCTTCTCAGTAATAAACCATCCATTATATTTATTGAGCTCCTACTATATGCTAGGAATTTAACTCCTCCTTTAATAATTCTTCTATTTAATCCTTAGAAATGCTATTACCATTTTTTCTTTTTAAAAAATTTTTTAATGTTGCAAGTATTACATATGTCCCCTTTCCCCCCATTGACCTCTTCTAGCCCACCCCCTTCTCCCCCCAGGCCTTCACCATCCTATTGTCAGTGACCATGGGTTATGCATATATGCATACAAGTTATTTGGTTGATCTCTTCCCACCCACCCTCCCCTACTTTCCCTCTGGAGTTCGAAAGTTTGTTTTGTGCTTCTATGTCTCTGGATCTATTTTGTTCATTAGATTCCACATATGAGTAAGATTATGTGATACTTATCTTTCTCTGACTAGCTTATTTTGCTTAACGTAATACTCTCCAGGTCCATCCAAGCTGTTGCAAATGGTAAGAGTTCCTTCTTTTTTACAATTGTGTTGTATTCCACTGTGAAAATGTACCACAGCTTTTTTTATCTACTCATCTGCTGATGGGCACTTTGGGCTGTTTCCAAATCTTTAGCTATTGTAAATTGTGTTGCTATGGAACATAGGAGGTGCACATATTCTTTCTGATTTGTGTTTCTGATTTCTTAGGATGTAGTCCTAGAAGGGGATCAGTGGATCAATAGGAGTCCATTGTGATTTTTTTTTTTTAAGAAA